TCACTTGGAATATATATTACTAATGAAAAATTTGCTATTGAAGCTTGAAGGAAGTTGTTTTTTCTTATTACACAGAATGTTTACAGTTTACACACAAACATGAAATAGATTTGGAATATCATTTTAATTGAAAAAAGTTACTGGAATCACTGATCAATGCCATTTGAGATGAAGATAAAATATATATATTGACAGTGAGCAGGAAATTGAAACAAGAAGAAATATTCTGTGTACAACAGTAGCAGGTAATTCTGGAATGGGTCTCCTTATTCTCTGATACAGCCCTCTGGAGACTGCCAGCACTCCTACCCCCAGATTGTTTTTTAAAGGTGTGTTGGTTTGGGGTGTTTTGTTTGTTTGGAAAAATTCTTTTGGAATCCTTGAGAGGAAATGGGGGCATTATTGCCTTCTTTTAGGCTGCTATGAGGCACATTGTTTTTTAAGTTAATAAGCCATTTTTATAAGAAGAATCTTGGGGGTATTACAGGAGTGAGTACAGTTGTGCAAAGTCCAGGGGTTGGGGTGTGTATGGCACCCAGACCTCTGATAGTCACCCACCCTTCTGCCAGAGCAGGCATCTTGTCATCTTCAGCAGTACTAGAAATGGAAAAGTCTCATAAGTCTCTCTTTAAATTTTTTTAAAATGTCTTTTATTAAAAAAAATTATGAGGAGATCCTAAATTAACAGTGTAGTTTTCCATGAAATGAATTTGGATTTTTTCTTAATTTGTATTGATGCCTATGACACTTTAGGGGTGGGGTTGATACCACACTGAGCAGTTGAAGATTTTAAATGATGCTAGATCAGCAGCATCTAATACTTTTCAGGCTTGTTGGTCTGAGGGATAAAAGGAGAACAAAGGCTTTGGGGTGACTTACAGATAACTGATTTAGTAATCTAAGTTAAAAGGCCAACATAATATTGCCCGCTTTTAATAATTATGCAGACTTTTATCAGTGTTTTATGAAAAAAAAACAATTGAGTAGCTAGGCCTGTTGTGCTTTGTTGCACCATGGCGTGACATAGTCAGTTGCTAGTGGCGTTTATGCCAGAAAATCCATCCACTTCTGTTATCAGAAAAAGTGTAGTGAAGAAGCCACAATGGTATTTAAATTTTGATGGATAAATTTGAAAGGTCCATTTGCTATGAGAAAGACACAATATCAATGAAGTTAAGAGGAAATAAATAGATGCTTAAATGAACTGTGGAGACAAAGACGTGATGGCAATCATGTTCTGACTAATTGGTATGGCTCACCTCATCCTGTCTGATTGCAAGTCATCAGTGTGGCACCACAGGTGGTGCACATTCCTTTCCCCCACTCCCTGGTTTGCTCCCCCACTCACTATGCGGCATGCAGTGCCTGCTTCCTGGTCTTTGCGCGACTGTCTAGTTGCAGCAGCAGGAGCATGTATTTCCCTTGTCTGCCTCCTCCAGCAGCTGTCCACTCAAAGGTAGCGCTGCGGGAATCCCTGCCCCACCTCATCTAAGTGGGCAGCTTCTGGAGGAGGTTGAGAAAGGAAGTCCGTGCCCCTGCTGTGACCGGATGGTTGCGCGAAGAGCAGAAGATGAGCAGTGCATGCCATCTGGTGAGTGGGGTGCTGGCCGGGGTGGGGAATGGGAACATGTGGCATCTGTGGTGCCATGCCAGTGACTTGTGATGACACAGCATGAAGTGAGTTGCACCTATCTCTAGTTTTGATTCACTATATAGCTTCTTGTTTCAGTGCTTTTTGGCTCCAGATAGATGTATCTGCCAGAAATGGGAAATGCTTGAGTTTTTTTTTGTACCACATTTTTCAGAATCCCATCACTAATGGCCACACTTGCAGTGGGATTATGGGAGCTGTAATCCGAAAACCCAGATGTTTTCCATCTCTGATATGTACAACTGCTGTGGCCACACTTTGAGTCAGAGATGCCTCTTTAGGTGAAACCTTGTTCTGATTGTGGCTTTCTTCATATGACTGTCTTTTCAGTACTTGTGATTGTATCTGAAAGATGAATACTGCAGTGGTGTGAACACTTGTTTCTCTGTCATCCCGCTTGATCCCCTAGTTAATGTATGTGAGAGGTACCTATATAAATTGAAACCAGTAGCATATTTTTGCCTTAGTGAATGATATGTGAAATATGAGTTTCATTCATCAAGATTTGGAATTTGTATCGGAATCTTAAACTGGGCATAACTAGTGAGACTGACGTATTTGAGAGGAATTATGCTATAAAATACGGAGTTTTAAATAAAACATCAGAAAGGTTTAGAATAATGAACAGAACATCATCAGTGTTTCTCCTCCAAACAAATGAATATATATTTTGAGTGGCTGAGATAGTTTGATGAGAAGAACTGAAGTACTGATGTAACCCAGGTAACAAAAAAGATGCTTTGGAAACTAACTCAAATCACAGTAATGTGAGTATCACATTAGAGTAGAACATCAACACTCTGGCATTTAGGGATTTTAAATTAAAGTAATTTGTGGCTTGCCTCTAGTATCTTCTGAATGGTTGTTCTTGAGCTTATGGCATAGTTTCTTGTTCCCATCCTAATTTTCTGAATGGAGACTACACGTTCAGAAGCTCAGTTAAAGTGGATTTTAATGATAATAAAAAAAGATGGGTTACATAGTCTGTTATTTTTATGGCTTTCCTATTGCCTAAACCATTTGTAATCTATTTGCTGTGTTTTGTTAATAACATTCACTTTGGAGTGTATCTGCCGTGACAAGGCTACCTTTTTATGTTTTGTAAACTGCTTGGGGTTTTTAGGATAAAGCATTTAAACGTTTTAGAAAAAAATCAGAAGAGCATCAGCTTACAGAGTGAATTGAGACATGGACACAGCAATATTCTCATCACCATTTTCATGGGTTTGTTGTCTACCAAGGAGGAGGCAAGAGTCTACACAATCTCTGCTTGCAGGGAACCGTTTAGAGCAGTGATGGCGAACCTATGGCACGTGTGTCACAGGTGGCACACAGAGCCCTTTCTGCGGGCATGCAAGCCGTACGTTGCCAGATTGCTACTCCCCCCGCCAGCTAAACCTGAGAAGGGAGCTGCAGCCATGGTGCTGGTGCTTTGACAGGCGGATCTGGAGCAGCTGGCGCTGGCGGCCGATCTGGAGTGGGGTCTCGAGGCGCCTCCGTGCCTGGGAGTCCCCCTTCCACCACCACTTCCGGTTCCTCTGCTGCCACGCCACTTGCTTTTTTGTTTGTTTGTTTGTTCCCCCCCCCCCCCAGTTTGGGCATGCAAGCCCAAAAAGGTTTGCCGCCACTGGTTTAGAGGCACAAGTAACATACTGTATACAGCCTTTTCTGTTCTGTTTTGATGCTTGAATTAAACAACAACTGGGAGTCAAGTGTTCATGTGTTCAAAACTTACTGTGTGGACTGAATTTTGCTTGGACCATATGCAATTGCCCTTCCTGTCCTCTTTCCTGGCTTCCTGCTCCCACTGAAAAGCCTCTATAGAAGATTAGAGGAATCCCATTACTTTGGAAGACAGACTGCAATGTTCATAGGTCTTCCAACATCACCACCACCCTTCAGTGAGTGCAAGTAGCAGTAGGAGGGAGGAGAGAAGAAGAAAGGTCAAGCTTTCCTTCAACAAAGCTGTTCATCTACAGTATATGTTCATGTACAGTATATGTACTTCTGAAGTGAGTTTTAAATCTGGCCTCCATGCTTGCAGCTATTACTTTTTAAAGTACAGTGTGCTTATCTGTGTATCTAGCTTGTTCTGGAATTTCAGACCAAGCTAACTTTATTACAAACCTTATTGTTCCCTTCTGTTTGAGTATTTGTTTGCAGAGTACATCCTGTATAATGTTGGATGCTTTTGTGATGACATTTCATTCAGTACGTTAGCAATACAACACTTGAAGTGTGTTCCTTTGCACTTTGTAATTAGAATATCAGAGAGAATGTTGTCTTACATTCCTCTCTCCATCCATTAGATTTGAATCAGCAGGTCTGATTACATAATCAATGCTTTATTCTAACAAACCTGCCATAAATCAGCTGAATAACACAGACTATCTCAAGTTTTCAATGGCCTTTATTATATAAGTTCATTCTGGTTGGTGAAATGTTACCTGTTTGCTTTCCTTGTAAAAACTGGTCCATACTGAAAATCTCTTGTGACTTGCTTCTCTACTTGCTTAGGGATTGTAGCTAGGGGAGAATAAGATCATATTCTTTGAGATACTGAATTTTTAAAAGCGAAGAAGCTGCTTAAAAGAAGCCATTTTAAGCATGCTGACAATGGTTATTTCTTTGAGACGTTTTTGTTGACAAGAAATAGTCATCTAGGAAAACAGTACAATTTATGTTCATCTTCTTTTTTAAATTAATGTAAGAAATTGCATCAATTGTTTTCTGAACACATTACGTTAAAGGTAGAATAATTTCTATGATACATCTCAAAATCTTAAGATTTATATGTTAAAAGTAGTATCAGAAACATATCTTTGCAATCAAGAGATTAAGGTAAAGGATTCAGCACTAAATAATAAAATATATGTTACTGTACACTAGTGTTCCAGTGGTCTTACAGTGACACTGTTGTCAGGCAGACAAGCATTACTGCTTTAGGATGAGAGTGCATGCGTCCTTGCCATTAAACAAAGATTGTTGTAGGCCATGTCTACCTCTACAGTTAATGGTTAAGTCTTACAGTAACTTCTTCACCACTCTCTCAACAAAACTTCCATTGTACATCAATAAATATTTTCATCTATATTTGCCATAGAAGGCAGTTCCCTGTTTGACCTTTTTTGCTGAGTCAATATCTATGGGTTTTGTCCTATATGCACAGCAGTAGAGAGCTAATGTGTCCTGAATGCAGTGGCCACATTTCCTTTGTTTTTCATTGACTTCCAGCATTCCACGAATTTAAATCAGATATATTTTCTTCTCAGTAAAACCTTTCTTTGTGTTTTCTGTTATTATGAGCATGTTAACCATTTCTCTCTCACTTTCTGTCCAATTTCAAAAGGGAACCCTTGTAATTGGTGGTAAAGAAGTGACCCTGGAATATACCCAGTCCCCTGAATTTTGGCACTGCAAGCGTGTGAGTATATGGAGAACTATAAGTCAATTCTGACTTGATAGCATGTAACAAAATGAGCAAAGGCAAAGGGACTAGGCATATGATTTGTGGATATTTCTAATGGTGTGTTGCTTTCTATGGGAGAAATCTTAAGTCAGTAAAAACAGAGAAGTGGGGGAATATGAACACCGTTCCTTGGTAGAGAAAATTACTGTAGCTTTTTTTAAAAAATATATGTTTTATTTCCTTATTGGATCTCTTAAGCTTATCACCTGGTGCCGGTGATATTCCACTGACAGTCACAAAGCATGTGAATACCCTAAACTCTTCATTGGATTGAAAGATCTTCTGAGTTATGGGTAGAAAACATTTTTTGGGTTGAGGGACATGTTTCCTCGCAGATTGCCAGTTGGGTGCCAACTGCATGCCAGCAGTGGGCAGGACTGAAGTAATAAGCGGATGGGACTAGAGTCAAAAGCAGGCAAGATCAGAAGTTCTCTGTCACCCGCTTCTGTCTCTTCCATCTTCCTCCTCACTTAGTGGTTTGTTGGGGAATGCCCTCATTTTTTTACATTTGAAGCTGGTTCCTCACTTCTGCTCTAAATGAAGAGGTTCTTTCTGAATCATACCCACATATTAAAGTTCTAGATACACTTGTTTCTTTAAATACAGTATGTCTGTATTGAAAGCAAGACTGTTGCATTTCAAAATGTTTTCTACTCTAGGTGCTAAGAGCTGCTTTCGGTTCATTGCCAGTACTAATTTATTATTTATAATCACTGCTTCCAGAAATGTTTGTGTTCTGCTTTGAGAAGTGTCACTGTGTGTATCAGGAGTGGAGAACCTGAAATTCCTGAAGTAGAGCTCCCAGCCTCCCTGATCTTTAGATGTGCTGGCTGGTACTGATAGGAGTTGGATTCCATCAACATCTAGAGAGCAGATTTTCAGTTGTTTACATTGAGGTGGACAACTCTTGCTTCTCAGTGTTTGTTTGTTTTGGCTTACAGTTTCCAGCAGTCCTAGTCAGCAAAACCTACAGTGTGGGGTTATAGCAGACACAGTCCAAACCCATTTGGAAGGTTGCATTCTTGGTTTGTCTAGGCCAGTGCTTCCTTCTTTAGCTTTTATGACTAGTATTGTCTTGTGGGCCTCCACTGCCATAGCAGGAGTGATATCACCACTAGCAGGAGATTGCTAGTAATTAGAGACTTCTTTTTGTTGGGCGGGAGGATAGATTTACTAAATTTGTACTAATTCAATGGGCCTACTCTAGGGCAACTTATTCCACTAAACAACAAGACTTTAGCCATTGAGGAGATGGTGGTTGCCACCAACCTGTGGCATTCCAGTAAGTGTAGTAGAAAAAAAAAGGTAAAATGCAAAGCATTGCATTAGTGTTCTTCTGGCCTGCCACTTCAGTCGCTGCTAATGTAGTCATGTGACACTTTATTTCAACTAAATATTGTCATTGAGATGTAGATTGGCAACTCACAGGAATCTAGCTGTAACATCTTGTTTGAACCTCAGTAAAACAGTAATTTTTGTTCATCAGAATTTATCTATGTGGGTCTGCTTAATAAACTTTTCCGAAAGGAGAAAGACTTATGTTTCTTATGCTTCAACTTTTGCATTGCAGTGTAAAGTGTCCACTATATCGTACTGTTTATCCTGTAATTTCTGCAGACTCCCAAGAAATGGTGAGCCCACTTCTGTTACTGTCTTACATTGAGTTTTTATACACAAACAACAACATGTATTTAAATAACTGAAATACCTATTTAAGTAGCAGCTGGTATATGTCCAACACTGACTTACGATGAATTTAAGACACTTTTGTGTACATTGGTCATCGTAGGTCATTCGTGTGGGTGTGATCTACCTCTGCTTCTCATTCATATAAATAAAAAAAATCATGTTCTCAGCAGATAGGTTTATTCTCTGTAATAACTCATTAAATAAGTGATTAAAATAGTATATGTTATGCAGGGATAAGAATAAAAGATAATAGTTTTAACCTAGCGGTTGATGATGACGTGACTTGGTTGCCACCGCTTATTCCTAGTAACAGAGGGGAAAAATGAAAAAGAGGAAGAAGAGTTACCTGAACAACCAGTACCTGAGGAACAGCCTGCTGAAGAGCCTCTTCCTCCACAAGAACTGGTTTCTGAAAAGCCTCCTGAACAGCAGTGCCAGACTCAGGAGGTTGAACTCAAGAAAAAGGATGAAAGCAAGGAACAGTGGCCATCACGGGAGAAGAAAAGAAATTCTGAGACATACTCACCACGAAAAGAAAACCAAGAACGTGGTTCAAGAAAATCCATGGACAACAAACACCAAGAGGATGAGAGTAAAAGTAAGCAGATTTTACTTGCAGCATTAGTGCCTTATTTCCTTTATAATAGCCATTTGAATTTTAGTAACTTCTGTGCCCATGACACAGCTGGCAGCCTAGTATTTGTCTTTCTGTTCACTGAAGCTATACTTAATAACCTTTAAGCCAGACAAGCATGGAAAGGAGTAAATACATATATCCCCTTATATTTCTTTTGACAGCACTTATGTTGAAACGCATCCCTCACTTCACTCCACCAGAAGTGATTGTAGGACTTCTGGCCCCATATGTCCGTCTCTCTACTTCAAATGTACGTGTGGTGAAGAACAAAGCTGGACGGATGGGCTACACCTATGGCTTCATTGAACTGGACTCTCATGCTGTATGTAGTTTTCTCTCCTCTCTTCTACCTTTCCACATAGTGTGCTATACAATACTGTGGCATTGTTTTGTATGAAAGGCTCCAGTTCTGCTTATAGTTCTCAGTTCCTTTATTCACAATTACTGTATTTTAGGCCGCTTTCCCACTTTCAGAGTGGGAGCTTCCTATTTACAGTACTGGGTTTTCTACATTTGTTCAGTTCTTCTGCTTTCTCTAGCCAAGGCTAGCAAGTAGTGGATGCATTTGTATATATTGTCCAGAATCCTGTTACATATTGATGCTGGCATAACCCAAATTTTAAGTGACAAATTGTCACATGTTAAGAAGTCAGTGTAAGCATTTGTTCTTGTGTTCAGAGTCAAGCAACTCAGTGCTTACCAACAGAAGGCTATGCTGACTTCTTCTTATAGCAGTGATTCCTAACTGTAGGTGGCCCAGTTGTTCCTGGAGTGAAACTCCCAGAAACCCTGGCCAGCACAGCTAGTTGTGAAGGCTTTTAGGAATTGCAGAAATGCTACTGCGTTTTACTCTGACTGAGGTAAGGTTTTAACCACAAGTTAAAGGTGTATCTGAAACCATAAATTTTAGTTAATCTTTACTATTACTATAATAAGCTAGCATTATACATTGAAATTTGAAGTTGTTTTCATAAGCCATAGACAGTGTAATTACAGTCGTGCCCCGCATAGCGAGGTTAATCCGTTCTAGATTAACCTTTGCTATGGGGAAACATCGCTAAACGGAACGGGGAAACCCATTGTTCCAAATGGGCACAAAACTCACCGTTCAGCGATGTTCCTGCATAGCGGCAGCCATTTCCGTGCCCTCGGTAAGTGAGGGCAGGGCGTGAAAACGCTGTGCGCGGCCATTTTGGGTCGTCCGGCGGCAATTTTGGAACCACCGAACAGCTGATCCCCCCGACGTTGCAATGCGAAGATCGGTAAGCGAAATGCTTACCGATCTTCGCAATGCGAGTTTTGCCCATTGTGACCGTCGATATGCCTTCGCATTAGCGATCCCAAAAAATGGATCGCTATGCAAATTCATTGTTATACGGTGCGCTCATTAAGCGAGGCACCACTGTACTTGGGTTCAGTAGTGGTGTAAAGTCTAATGGGAGCCTTGCAGCAACATCCTCAAAGGCAGCCCAAAAATGCAGGCAGCTCTGTTGGTCCCCATCAGCAAATCAGTTTTAGCCCTTCTTATCTGCATCAAGAGAAAGTCTTTTGTAAAGGTAATTAGTCTTGATTGCTCATTTAAATTGTACTCCATCCTTAAGTACTTTGTGCAATAACTGATGATTCACAACAGTGTATTGTTTCCCCTGTCAGCTCCCAATTCAGTGTAAACCCTGAGAGGGTTGGGAGCTAGTAGTATAATTCCTGCTGAACAAAAGCATCTAATATTTTGACCCTATGAGCAATGTCTTTATTAAACCATTTCGATATGGATGTTATGTTAAGCTATGGTTAGTCAACAACAGAACTGAAAAGTTCAGAACTCTCATAACCATAATGCTATGGTAATAACTAACTACGCAACACTTAACTGTGGTGTAAGCATAGCCTACATGATGACATCTTATCTTCCTGCATTACTGTAATAATCCTTGTAGATGTGGGCAGTATGGCCATAATGGTACTATGCTGACTGCTGTAACCATATTAGTCAGAACTATTGTGGCATAGCTGGGGTGCGATGTGGTGGCGCTGTAGGTTAAACTGCAGAAGCCTCTGTGCTGCAAGGTCGAAAGACCAGCAGTCGTAAGATCGAATCCATGTGACGGAGTGAGCTCCCGTCCCTTGTCCCAGCTCCTGCCATCCTAGCAGTTCGAAAGCATGTAAAAATGCGAGTAGATAAATAGGTACCACCTTGGTGGGAAGGTAACAGCGTTCCGTGTCTCGACGCACTGGCCACGTGACCACGGAAGATTGTCTTCGGATAAATGCTGGCTCTACAGCTTGGAGATGGGTATGAGCACCGCCCCCTAGAGTCAGACATGACTGGACATTTGTCAAAGGGGAACCTTAGCCTTAGCCGCTCAGAGTGGTATAGATTTACCAGATGAGCGGGATATACAGTAAATCAAATAAATAAATAAATAAAATTGTGGCATGCGGAGTTTTGCCGCAAGCAACTCATGAATCAGATTGAATATCCTTGTCCTGCCGCCACCGCCGCTTTTGAGAAAGAAATGCATTTGCCTTGATGTGTAGTACCTAATTTAGGTTCATGATGAGATTGTTGCTTTTCACTTCATATTTTGCCTTCTGTCACAGAACTCTCTGGACCTTCATGTCTACTGAAGTTTTACTTGTTTCTTCTGTTGTTAAAAACTGTCTTGCCGCAGTATAACTCTGCCATTTTATTTTGCCATATATAAGGGTCTTCCAGAGATGTACACCAAGATCCCTAGATCTGAGTAGACATCTACTCAGCATTTATTTCCTGCCCAGCATAATTTACCAACTTTACAGCATAGTAGTAATCATAGTGGACACATTTTGAAGGACTTGCATATTAGATACTTGTTTTCAGAGTAATATATTGTTATCTCAGGATCAGGAGAAAGCATGGAAAGATCGTACACATGGGCTGAAATCCTGGCAATGGTGAAACTTTTATACATCAATTACTGTTAAGAAATCTACCTAGGCATTATCTGTTGCATGCAACTTGGAATACAACAGATAATGCTGTGGAGATTTCTTAATTTATGGCAATCTGCTTTCAAAAGTTACACTGTTTATGTAACTGTGCAACAGGATTTCAGCCATTCAGTGAGCAGAACTCAGTGTGGACCTCCTGAGACGAACCACATTCTGTGTTGAGGGTAATGTCATGAAGATTTGAGGGAGTTCTTAGCTATTTTGGAGTGGTTCTGCACACAACAAGGTTGTAATGAGGGAGGGACCAACATTCTGAGGCAGTTCAGTAGAACTACCATCTGAAGTTCAGGTGTGTGGTTTCTTTTCTTGCCACTATTGATGGGATGAAGGGGTTTGATTTAGGGATAAGGGACAGAGGTGGTCTTGCTAACTTCATGTTTCACATTGTGAAGAGGAACAGTTTGTCATCTAATTTCTTTTGAAGCAGTGTGACTTAAGTCTGGTATTGCTGTACTTGCCCAGGGAGTAAGGGACAGACTGGTAGAGACAACACAGTGTGAAAGGAGCCTAATCTGGCCAAGGCAGCTTATTTTGCTTTTGTGCGCAGCAGAACTTCCTTGAATTTGGGGCACTTGAAGGAGCCTGTGGTAGCTAATTCCTTGCTTTGTGGGTGAAATATATCTCATTTTATGAAATTCATTAATTTTCTCCATAGGAAGCAGTCCGATTAGTGAAGGTTTTACAAGACTTGGATCCCCCGATTAGCTTTGATGGACGTGTTGTGGATATAAACCTAGCCACAGGAAAGAGAAGGTAATAGGCACCTCACCAAAACACTTGCTGGAGTGCCTTTGTCTTAATACAAATCTTACGCCAGACTCTGAATTAAGGGGATTAAACTTTCCAAATTAAGGAATGTTTTAGACAGCCCATTTTTGATTGAAATGACTGATAGTACTTATTACGATTTATGCAGTTGAAATCTTCTTGATAGGAGGCTGTGTTAATTAGCTCAACCCATTGTTCCTTCTGTAACAAAGTACTGTAGCCATAATATATTATACCATTTGAAGAGTTAGGTTAGTGAATGTGGATAGTAATAGGCTGAACAAAAATAAGTAGTAAAGCTAATTGTATTGTTTCTTTTCCCATCAACGATTTGTAGCTAAACATGAGATATGTTGCAGATGTTGGAATTTCCTGGCCTGTTTAGTGCTTTAAGAATACTGTAGTATATTAGATTCTTACCCATGTTTTTGTAAGCCAGCAGGTCTGCTAACATCGTTGAAGCATAATTAACCTGTCATGTGTGTAGCAGATTCAGAGCCCATGAATTGTTATTAACAGATGTTCCCTTCTTTCTTTTGCTAGAAATGAATATGGCGATCAGGGTGATTTCCCCCGCTTTGGCCAGGTATGTTTTTAGTGTAAACTGTGACTGCATTAAGAGGAAATTGAATGTTGCCTTGAAGCTTTGCTGAGACTATGACTACATAGTTTGATTTAGAATGTTACCTGGTATTCTCCCCCGTTTTTCAGAGGTTGTTGAAAATTAGGTTCTGAAAGATTCAAAGTCAGATTCCAGGTAAAGTAAATTGGAAAGATTAGAAAAATACCAGACAAATGGCACATAGCATGCACAAACCATAAAAATGTAAAGAATAAAATAAGTGTGAAAAATAAAATATTCTGTCTCTGTTTGGGTAATATTACACATTAGAGTACGTGTGTGTATATTGGACTAAATCCAGTGGAAGACATCTGCTAACTTTTATCGTAAGCAGAATTGACAGGACTTGGAAACCCTGCAATGTGTGCTTTTCGATTGCAGTTTCAGCTGTAGGAAGATGGTGAGGAGAAAAAAAGTGTCACACTACCATGTACAGCCACAGTGTGGTGTAGATTCAGGTCAGATACATAGGCGTATCTGCATACCTGAAAACTAAGCTACAGTATATTGAAACAAAGTTAGTTGGGAAAAGTGATATATCCAGGCTGGCCAGTAAGTATTAGACATGCCACTTGCTTTAAGAACCATCCAGCACTGGTTTTCTTTTCCCTGTTACCTTGTGTCCAATTGAGGCTTTTATATAACCATTCATCTGGCTTTCTTGGGAAAGATGGTATCATTTCCTCACATGGTGATTACTTGATGAACTAAACTTTGAAGCAGTGTTTTCCTCTGTTCTATCCCATGGTTCCAGGAAGCCTTTCACCTGAATAGGATCAAACCTGACATTACTAGCAGAATACAGATAACTCCCTACACCTGCAGGGGTAGGTCTTAGGCTTTTATGCTCTGTACCTGCTCTGATTTGTGACCCTTTTCAATGCACAAATCTGCTCTGATTTGTGACCCTTTTCAAAAGGGTCACAAATCAGAACAGATAGAGCATAAAAGCATAAGATCTATCCCTGCTTACTGCAGGGGAGGGGGAGTTATCTGTAATCTACTAGTTATGCCTGTAGCCAAATATGTTGGTACTGGTATCTTGTTACATGCGAACTTACTGGCTGAACTGCAGAGCTGCACATTGTAAATGCTGATGATATCAGCTTCCAATGTTAATCTGTAATTTAAATTAATTTAAAACTTCCTATCCCTACCCTCCAGATTCCAGGACTCCCTAGGGATCTCTTTTGACCTGGGCAGGCCTTTTGGATCCTTGGAATGGGTGTGTGGGTGGGTGGGGGCTCTTAATACCTGAAAATTGCTGATGGTGGTCATGATTGCAGCAGTGGGAACAGTGGCAGTGATTTTCAAATATTAAGGGCTCCACACCTTTCCCCCCGTCCTGAGGATACCAAAAGGCTTCCCCTGATCACAAAGGATTTCTAGGAAGATTTGGGACCTGAGGGGAGCTGGATTTCATAGCTAACAGCATTTCAGTTTGGAATGCTTAATCAATGGAAAAATGTTCACTGGATGTTTTACTTGTATATGTTTTGTATTTCAGAGTAAACGGGATAGGAGTGAAAGGAGAAGCTCTGGTTCACAGAAACGAAGATCAGAATGTAAGGCACAACTTTGCTGACTTTATTGTTCTTGACACCTCTGTACTACTGTTTTTTATATTTAATGTTTTTTTTCTGTATAATTTGTTGATGCTTTCAATCAAAACAAACTGCAAGATTTTTTAGAAACACAGATGCCTTAGAAGAAAGCTGCATGTTCATTCTGTATCAGACTGTTTAATCCAGCCATAAAATCTTAAAGTGAAATTCAGCCAGACTCATGTGGGTTGAAATTTCTTCATTCAGAGTCTTTCAGTAATAGGGTCTTCATCAGTATGTCGTGCCTTTCTGTCATAGGTGGCTGACAGGTAAGAATGTCTGTCCCAGATGGCTGATTCAGAGATATCACTAAAAGGCAGTAGATTGGCAGTCTTCTTTTTTTTAGTGGCCAAAATTGCAGTAGTAAGTAGATTAGGCCCATTGAATCAGAATTTACAGGAGCTGACTTATAAATACCCTGTTTGGCACATTTTGGATTTTTTGCTTGAGCCACTCCTGCTTTATTTAAAATATGTGTGTCCCCTTTGGAATAACATGTTTGCACTTCTTTCCCTTCAGCCTCTTCTTCGGATGTGTCCACATTCATTTATGACCCGGATACTGGAAACTATTTTGACCCAATAACAGGAGTATATTATGATCCCAATACGCAGGTGAGAATAATGTTTATGTTCATATTTGATTAAATCCTGTTGCTTTGTTCAATAAATTACACTAGAGTAGGTCTGTTGACTCAGTGGAGATTTGGTGAGTCGACTGCAAGTTCCATTGATTTGAATGATCCTATTCTACCTGTGCTAAAGTAAATCTCAACTAGATTCGTCTGGCGCCGACGCTGATGACATTTCGGCGCCAGGTCAAAACCTTCCTGTTCCAAATGGCTTTTAACTGAAATAATATCAGCTGTAGGTCTGATGGCAATTTTTAGAATATGTATTTTAATTGCATTTTAATTATTTTGCCCTTTTATTTTGCCTTTTTATTGTATTTTAAATGCTGTAAGCCGCCCAGGGACCTTCGGGTAGTGTGGGCGGCATATAAGTTAAACAAACAAACAAACAAACAAACAAACAAACTACAGTACCCCCATTTGAATTAACGAAACTGATGTAGGAGTTGACTCACTAAATCTCCACTGATTCAATGGGCCTACTCTAGTGTGTTTTATTACACTAAGCAATGGGATTTTGGCTATTGTTCTCTAAACATATATCAAATATTTCCATCCAGAGGGAAGTGCCAATGGGTAGAGAAGAATCTACATCACCGCCACCTAGTGGAAGGAGGCATAGGAGTCGGGAAAGGTCAAGTGAAAAAGAGGAGACATGCAGTAAAGATAAAAGAGACAGAAGAGACAGACACAGAAGCAGACCAGCAAAGGTACACTTCTCTGTCACAAACTCATGGTTATGACTCAAGTGCCCCCCCCAATAGTCTTAGGCCAGTGTCATACTCAACTTCTGTTGAACAAAAGATCCTGCAAGTGTAGAATTGGGCTACTTGTGCAAGTGTTGCCACTGATAAGCGAAGGGTGAAATTTAAAAAAAAATTTAATGGAGATCAGTGTTTGAATCACAGCAGTGCTTCACCTAGTCGCACAATTCCAGGTTACTGCACTGATGGGGATTTCTGATCAAAAGCCCAGTAGGAGAAGCGTCTCAGTCTGTTAGTGGGACTGAGGAGCAGTGCTGCTATAATTAAATCTTGTCTTTGCAACTAGATAATTCTGGAGACTTGGAAGGATATGCATTGGATAGTGTTTACTTTAACCAACAACTAACTGATATAATTTCCACTTTATTGTCACTCTTTGCCACCCAAGGTCCTCATGAGCAAAAAAGCTTGTTCTATTGTAAAAACTAGTAGATCGAACAGACTTTCAAAGGAGGAAGTAGATTTATGGATGCAGAATCTAAATGTGTGTTTAAAAAGAAGCAAGCAGAGAAACATTGTTGTTATGAGCCCTCAAGTCGACTCCAACTAATGGCAACCCTAAGAGTGAGTGACCTCCAGAATGTCCCCTCCTTGACAAACCTACTCAGCTTGTGCAAACTCAAGGCTGTAGCTTCTTTGGTGGAGCCAACCCATCTCATTTTGGGGCTTCCTCATTTTCCGTTGTCTTCATCTTCATGTTGTTGTATTTCCCTGTATTTCTCATCTTCTCATAATGTGCCCAATGTATGACAGCCTCAGTTTTGTAATTTTGCTTATCAAGAGAATTCAGGTTGGATTTGGATCTAAGATCCATTTGTTTCAGTAAAGTTCTTCTCCCTCATTATATTTAAACAAATCAGTTTTTTTCCTCTTAGCTTCCTTTACTGTCCACTAGAGATGGGGTTATTCATATACAAATACCCCTGCACAGGTGGCGATAACGAGGGTCCAGCCCCATGGAGCTGGATGGTCCACTCACCGATCTGCTGTGGATACTGCGATTCTTCCAATGGCTCTGCAGACTGCGATCTGTGATCCACTCTTCAATCTTTCAGCAAGGCTTGTCCTCCCGCCTCGTGCCAGGAGTGGCTAGACGATCACGATCTGTGAAGCCATTGGAGGAATCACGGTGTCCGCAGCAGTGGCGGATTGGTGAGTGGACCGTCCGGCCCCATGGGGCTGGACCCTCGTTATCGCCACCTGTGGGAGGATATTAATACCCCTATCTCTACTGTCCACCTTTCGCCCTCCATACATAATAAACTAAAATGAAGCTAGGCTATTAAGATATATATATTTGTAATTGTACTATAAATGACTGACAGGTAAGATCACCCCAACTTACAGATTTTTCAAATGAACCAAAGGTCTGTTCAGTTTAGAGATCATGCAATCCTTGTTTGTCTTAGAGCTGACAAATAGGTAATACCCAGTTCACATCTAACACAACAATTTGAAAAGTGTAGGACTAGGAAGCACATTCATGGACCAATTCAGGTAGCTCAGGTTGTTCATCAAAACTGTTTTATTCTTGAAGACTCAACTCTTAATAGTGAGAAAGGATTGTGATTTGACTTGTGGACCATTGCTTGAAATTGCTCAGACTATGGTATTATCCAGTTTAACCATTCTATTTAATACCACAGGTACATGAGTATTTCATTTGCATCTAAGATAATATGGCTATAAGTATAGGATTTGAGATATGTAATAAATTTGTTCAGACATTTAGAACACAATTCCCAGTAACTATTTCCTCACATTCTAAGAGCTACTCAGTAAATGGATACTTTGAATTTTACTTTGTTTTAATGCAGGTCCGATTTAGTCTGAAGAGGGAGTACCAGCACTAATTACATTCTAGACTAGGAACTAGCTCAGGAGGGGAATTGAGAGTATATTTTCCATTGCTACTTATATCTAGGAGCAAACAAATTACCACATTGTATATGAGCCCTCCTTTGAAAGCTGTAATGCTCTAATTACTAAGCATTTAGGCACGTTGCAGTTCTCACCATAATTTGTTGTACTTGGGAGGGGAAGGCATAAAACAAGTGAGAGAGCACAAGCAAGGAAATATGTTTTGGTGTGCCAGTCATTTTAAAGGAAGACATAGTAGACTGGTGAAGAAAGGAAACTTTTAAGAACAATTGAAGAGCAAGTGGTGAGGAAGCCCAACTGGTTATAAAGTGAATGTCCACTCTTGCTGTTTCAGAATGAATTTGAAGAAGAGAAGGTTCCTGCTGAAGATGTCTTTAAAAAGCCACTACCTCCAGTGCTGAAGAAAGAAGAGAGTACACCCCCGGTAAGAAAAAAATTGCTTAGCTTTTTTTTTATTGGAGCACTTTTTCTTCTCCAGGTTTAATGTCTTTCTGGTAATCTTGACCAGGGTGGAGTCTCTTGCAGAAATATATTTAGCACAGACTATGGAGTTACAGTGCAGCAGTAGACAGCTTCTAGAGCTGCACCCCTCAACCTATCTCAGACCTTCAAAATAGCTGCATATTTCAGGATTGCATGTGGATCTCATTCCATTTTCATTTTTCTGTAGCCGAAAGTGGTGAATCCTCTGATAGGACTCCTAGGGGAATATGGTGGTGACAGTGAGAATGAGGAGGAGGAGGAAGAAGAAGAGCCACAGCCTCTGCCTCCGCGGCCAGCAGTACAAGTAGAGGAAAGGCCTCAGAAGGCTGAAAAAGAGGAAGATAAGTTGACCGACTGGAATAAGCTGGCCTGCTTACTTTGCCGGAGGCAGTTTCCAAATAAAGAAGTACTGATCAAGCATCAACAACTTTCCAACCTTCACAAAGTAAGAAGTGCGGCAATTCATTGAGGAGGGTTTTCCAATGTTCCTCTTGTATCTTACTTTATTTGACAGATTTTCTGATTGGCAGAAATTCTTGACAGAAACACTGCCAAAAATTATAAAGGCAGCCTCTCTAGAGACTTGTTTCCCCTTGCACACTTACAAGTTCCAGGGAGTCCTTGTGACTCACAAACATGCAGTGGTATACCTTTCAAAGGCACAAAGAAGTGGTGTGGGAAGGGCATGGAGGTAAAATGACTACTCTACCTTCTGCTGTTTGATAGCTCCCAGTCCCATAATTCAGCGTGGAGGACTCCCACTGAATTATGGGACTGGGTTTTTTCCCCCACAAAAGTCCTATCCCTAATAAACAGTCCTACACCTGATGCCAGTCATCCCTGGGAACTCATTACTTAGATCAGTGGTTCTTAACCTTGGGAAGCCCAGGTGTTCTTGGATTGCAATTCCCAGAAGCCTTTACCTCCAGCTGCATTGGCCAGGGTTTCTTGGAGTCGCAGTCCAAGAATACCTGGGTTACTCAAGCTTGGAAACCACTGCTTTAGACCAATGGATGTAGGAATCATTGCACCTGAGGGACATCCTTATATTCAGAGTGATGCTCAGGTAGAGAGGTTTTCCAAGTCACAAGGATCCTGAAAAAATGCAAGAGCAGGTGATTACTTTATTAGGCCACTCAGCTGCAAACAGCTAGCTTTCCATGATAATTCATCTCCCTCAGGCTGTGCACCAAGTTCTTGTGGATGATTCAGAAAAACTATATGTTAGATTCCAAAAGTTTCATGGCAGTTGTTTGTGCCAGGCAATCTTATTAAGGTGAGTTCAGAGGCAGTCTGCAAACAGCTTGTTGGGTGAGTTGGTATGGTTTCAAATTCCTCCCTAGGTGGCACTTATTTGGAATTTATTTCCCAACTGTTGAAACAAAGAGCCACCAGGTAATTTTCAACTACTTCGTTCCTTCCCCACCCCATCACCTTCTTTTGAAGTTTAAGATTTCTTTTCAGCTGGGGGACAAAGGCAATGCAACGACATGGCCAGCCTCCATCAGAGAGTTGGGATGAAAATTTAGTTTAACCACCAGGAGAGGCCAATTTTAGCCAAATCAAAGCCAAACCAACAGTGTTACCTGCTGGATGCTCTCCTCAGTTTGTAGTAAAAGTTCGACTGGCATCCACATTCTCCAATTGGTGCCCTGGGTGGCCATTTAAACAAGTAAATGAGCTTGTCAGTCACTCATTGTGGTCACAAAGACCACAAAGAAGCAGCACCTGTTGCTTACCTATAAGTATGGTTCTTTGAGTGGTCATCTGAATTTACACAACCCAGCCCCTTCCCCTCAGTCTACTGATACATGTTTTTATCAGCGGCAGGCTGGAAGAACTCAGGATTAGCTAAGGGGTGGGGAGCATGCACTGTGAAGAGGGTGTGGTTTAACAGACTTTTTGGCTCTGGAATGGGTAGCCACATGGGCTGCTCCTTCCACTTTTGTCGAGTAGCTGTGCTGTATTTCATTTGTAGAATACTACAGCACTTCCCACTCAAGAAGAGATAGTGCTGCACTACATCCCTTTTGTTTGGGGTTAACTTTTACACAGACCAAAAATGGAAGGTTGGACTGACTGTGAAGGTACTTTCTGATCAGTGGAGAATGGACTTGACATCTCTTCCGAGTGGGTGATTCTTTGGTGGTCAGGACAAGGGGGGGGAGTCATTTTTCCCATCACATTTGCACAGTTCCCTCAAATAGGTAGAATCACCTAGGGCTCACTACCTATATCATGCTGCCTCAGTCTCTGTCCAGTTTTGTTCATTTCAGCCAGTAGAGTTCTCTTTGATCTAACTGCTGATGACTAGCTCTGTGAGTAGAGGGGATTTCTTCCTCCCAAACTAGACATGAAGTTTGTTTAGGCCTTTCTGCTTCTCTCTTGTGTGTTGAGTCTATTCTTCACTAATTAAAAACAAACTTCATGGTAAATCCTGTTTTTTTATTTTAACAGAAAACTTGACCAAGGACACTCATATTCTGGATCTTTACAGTATTAGGATTCCACTAACCAAACTGGTGTCATAATGGAAAAGCTCTGTTCTTAGTTAGAGGTATACTAAGCTACATTGACAGTGGCACCCAAAGCCATGGCTCAGATTTTTCTAAGAGGATTGGAAGAATATATTCTTTAAGAAGAGAGTAATAAAAATCAAAGTGTGTTGCTTACTGCCCTGTGATGCTTAAAGCACAATTCTGGGTGGTTTACAAATTAATTATGCAGGCTACACATTGCCCCCCCCCCAAAAGATAGGTACTCGTTTTACTGACCTCGGAAGGATAGAAGGCTGTATCAACCTTGAACTGGCTATCTGGGATTGAACCCCAGGTCGTGAGCACAGTTTTGGCTGCAGTACAGCAGTTTAACCACTGTGTCACAAGGCTCCTAATAAGTGGGTATTCCTTTGTTTACATTTTATGTTCTTTATTGCATTTATTTTGTAGTGTGTATTTAAATGTTTGCATTTAGTGGTGATTACATTTAGTGCATTTATTCCCAAATATCTATTATTCATCTTAATATTTCATTGCTAATACAATTTTATATTTGGATGAGAATTCTAAATATCTAGAAAAAATATTTTACATTGTATAAGGTGAGATGACTTAAGAGCTGTTTGTTCTTTTTACTTTTTCTAACAGCAAAACCTAGAAATTCATCAAAAGATAAAGCGATCAGAGCAAGAGCTGGCATATTTGGAACGGCGAGAGCGAGAGGTAACTGGAGATTCAGAAAGGAATAGTGTGCTTTCTGTAGCTTTTGTGCTGCTAAATCTGATATGTAAACAAAACATTAACAATGGCCTCTATGTGTCTACCACCCTGACTGTAGCTACATAAATAGTACAAGACAGGAGAAACAGGCGGAAAGGGACTTTGTGTCCTTTCAAATATATTTGAGCTCCATCTGCCACCACTTCAAGTCATCATGGCTAATGATCAAGAATGGTCAGGTTCATACTCAGAAGCACCTGAAAAGTTGCAAGTTCCTGACCTCTCAGAGTTGGAATGTGATTCTGTAATGTGAATTAAAGTATCATTCTTAGTTCAACCTACTTTTGTCAGAAAATGGAAATACTGAACAGCAACATCACAGAGAAGAAAAGATGTTTAATAATGATTAGTGCACTGGACTAAATCAGCTTTCCTCATATGTGTAACCTGTGTATTTTGCTGTTATTCACCTTGCTATCTGGAGAGTCTTGATGCTTAACCTCATTTTTGGAAATAATAGTCTGGTAGTTGTTCCAAAATAAAGCCATTAGTCAGGAATAACTCTCAAGTGGGTAAAAAGCCCAAAACACATTGGCTGAGATCCTCTTGGAAGAGCTTAATGGCTGTAAATGATAATGATATCAAAATCTGTAGACTTCAATGTTTTCTAACACCTCCCTCTGGGGACTAGGAAGAGAGAAATAGGAAAGTTTATAACATCACCATTTACAACTGTGAAGTATTTCGACAGTATTTCAACCATTATTATTTAGTACTGTTTGTGCCTCATCCAGGGATCTTTCTCTTCGCGTGTAGAGGTTATCTGCAAATGCTTGTTATTTACTTGAGAATTTCCCAGAAGATTACTTTCCTTTCTTTCAGACTAGGCAACACATATCTCTTTGAGAGAGAAACATTTGCAAGTAGAAGATGCTAAAAGTTATAATTGTAGAATTTGTGTCCAAAAGAGGACCTGATTTCAGTTTTCAGAAATGTGCCGAGTTCCAAATTTCTGCTTTTGTATACATGCTAGTACACTTCTCCCTTCAACAACACTGGGGTTGGGCTGCTGGATCCCCGTGTAGTTAAAAATCTGTATAATTTTCATGCCTCCAAACATAACTACACAGCGTAAACAGTTGATTCAAAAACACACACACACAAACAGCTAAAGGGTCAGGCTGAAGTCTCTATCAGAGGAAAAATTGGAGGCACAATCTCTTCTCCCCACCCCTACCCCAGAGCAGTGCACTGCTGTGACCTTCCCTGACCCATGTCAACCTATCGTCTTACCCCAGCACTCTCCCTAGCCACCACGTGTCATTGCCATACCAGGAGAGGGGCCTGGTAGGGCAACAACGTATTTGCTTTGAAAATGTACAAATTGCAGTCTGTAGAACTCCTTGCCATAGGATGTGGTGATGGCATCAGGCCTAGATAGCTTTAAAAGGGGATTGGACAGATTTCTGGAGGAAAAGACCATGGTTAAAAGCCATGATAGGGATGTATAATCTCCAGGCTTAAAAGGAAGGTCCCTCCAAATGCCAGAAACTGGGGAGTGGTATCAGGAGACAGGTATCTAGTTGTCTTGTGTGCTCCCAGAGGCATCTGGTGGGGCCACCGTGAGACACAGGAAGCCGGACTAGATGGGCCCTTGGCTTGATCCAGCAGGGCTCTTACATTGTTATGCAGTCGTAGATGATGGTCATTCTCATTGCTTCTGAATTTTCCCAAGCCTCTACAATCTGCTGCAACTTCACAAAACAAGGAATGAAGCTATATAAATTCCAATTCAGATTATATGTTTTGGAGAACTTTCTGAAAACCACTGACCAGGGTGCTGAGAAAAACGTCTCCATTCAGCCTTGGTCAGTATTTGCAAGAAGCTGTCTTTGAAGCAGGTGCTGTTGTCAATATAAAAAACCACGTGAAACCACCAGTCACAGCCACCTCAGTCTCAGCTTCATTGGGACAATATACACCCTACCATTATAAATACTTCACCTAGTGGGTCACCCAGCCACATGGCCTTGCTTAGGGCTTCCTTTTGGTCACCTCCACCAACACTGGGGGAAGACTTTCCAGTGCTGAGATCCAAGAAATAAGCCTCTGAATGCCAGGCAGATGCAGGTGAAACAGAGGTTGCTCAGACCAGGAAGAGGTCCAAGAAATCCACCAAAAGTGTACTGACTGGAGCTACTTCCTAGAAATCCCCTTCAGTGAACACATCCAGCTTTCAGCCATTCCCCCCATCTACACCTGTTTTAACAATGAAACCATTTGTATCATTACTGAACACAGTGCCAACCAACTAGTTCCTGATCATGATCCAGATGCTCTTGTCCCTGATCTCAATGCTCATACCTCACAGCCAGTGTGTCAACACTGCTATTCCCCTGTGCATACTTAACACAGTTCCCAACAAGATGTGACCATATTATTCTTTAGTACTGCTTTATACCAAAGAACTCCTCAAGGTACACCTTAAAGGATTTATCAACATAACCTTGTTTGATATTAAGCTTATGACTCTACTGCTACTCCCAAGCATACACAGGTGTGTTAAATTCTCTATAGGCATATTCTGCTGGGCTTTGTCACACTACTTCAGCATTCGTTTCGTTTAGTCGTGTCTGACTCTTCGTGACCCCATGGACCAGAGCACGCCAGGCCCTCCTATCTTCCACTGCCTTCCAGAGTTGGGTCAGATTCATGTTGGTTGCTTCGGTGACACTGTCCAGCCATCTCATCCTCGGTCGTCCCCTTCTCCTCTTGCCTTCACACTTTCCCAACATTAAGGTCTTTTCCAGGGAGTCATCTCTTCTCATGAGATGGCCAAAGTATTGGAGCCTCAGCTTCAGGATCTGTCCTTCCAGTGAGCACTCAATGTTGATTTCCTTTAGAATTGATAGGTTTGTTCTCCTTGCAGTCCAGGGGACTCTCAAGAGCCTCCTCCAGCACCACAATTCAAAGGCATCA